GACTAGATGCGCAAAGAAAACTCTGCACCCATCGCGCAATCAACACTCAGTACTGACGACAGTTTTTGTTCATCGCGGTCCACTTGGACTAACAAACTAGAATAATTGAAGATAATAGCGAACACTTGTCTCACTGTTCAACGAATGAATGTGCGAGATAGCTTCGCAAAATCATAGTGTGAAGCATAACTTAACCTCATGATGAATTGGGGCGTAGGTATGAGGCACACTGACTCGAAGAAGCTGATACACCACAGACAAATTGGATAGAGTTTTGCGATGTGGACACTAAAGGCATTAGAGAATATCATGAAGGAAAATCCCGGGAGCTGAAGTCCACGCACAACAGGAACGTTTCCAACTCAAAAAGCTCATCAGGAAAACGAAATGCTGCGAGACAACGCCTCGACGGAGCCCCGGGTCCGTTGAATCGATAAGCTCGTCGGGAGGCACTCCGGGCCGAGAACACTGCCTTTTCACTGGCTAGTCGCCTTCTCCAGACGTCCTCGACCTAGGTAGGTTTCTAAGTTACCAATTACTCCTCATACAACACACTGTATCACCAGTAATCTTCTCTTGTTTGTGTACCGTAAAAATCAGCTGATTGCACGTCAGGTGTCCCTGACGTCAAAAGTGATTCAAGGCTCCGCCTTCAAGTGACTAAACATCTGTTGGCAGACAAACAATATGTTTATGTCGCATTAAATCCTCAAAAACGAAACATCATGGATCAAGACGAGTCTTTAGCCTAGTATAGAAGGGAAAGAAGATAGCTCACTAAATATTCGCTAGATGCTGACACTTGATCCGCAGGGAAAGTTCAATTGCGTAGCACAGGCGCAGCTTTCTGTAGTTGTGCTATGCATAGAGTGGATCTCTTCGTGGCCAACAAAGTGTTCGTCCGCCGCGTTCATGAACTTGTACAAGTCCTTACATGGGCCGCCGATAATGCCTTGATAGATGGCGAATTTTATGCGTTTTGACTTCTTCAATGATCGATCGCGCAAAAAAAAACGAAACTCATGTTGAGGTTCTTTCTGAAGAGAACTGCACGAAATGCGCTGTACAAAAATCACTTTGTTTGCCCACAGGACAGCGTAAAAGATTGGAAAAGCTTAAAGAAATTAACAAGATTAGTATCTTGTAAAGCACTTGGACTGTACAAGTAGCAAGCACGCTCGCCATCATCGTTGAAGAATACCTAGATCAAGAAAGGCGTTGGGTTGTAGTCGCTCACTTGGCAATCACAAAAGTGAAGACAGCAACAGGAACGACTCAATGTTGAATGTTCTTTTGGGTTGAGATATGAGACCAAATTCCACCTACGCTGGTGTCAGAGTCCACGATCCGTCGCAGGTTTCGCTGATTTCGCGATTTGCGCGAAACCTGCGACGGATCGCAAAAATTGCAAGTGCCCCATTTGAACATTTGAAACACTGAATATGAAACAAGTGGAATCATGAGCAGTCGCCATGACTATCAAGCAGAAGTGGCGCAAAACCTTGCAGTATTGATTGCCGCACGATGATTTCCGTGGACCCGCTTTCAGTTGAATCGCCGGTCAAATCGACGAAATAGGGCTGAATAGGCTAGTCGAACGAATCCGCGGGCGAGATGACAGCCATGCCTAGGAAGCCTTTGGAAATAACGTTTAAAAGACTGGCTTCTAACAGAAGGGGTCTTACAAATTTAGAATGGGACATCTCGAAAACGGAGTGTCTGATGGCGAGAAATGCATATCTACCATCGTCTGCGGGCCGGGGGAGGTGGCTTTCAAAAGGGTTAAATAAGGAGAAGGGCACAATGTAAAGCCTTCGGAAGAACAGAATACAAAGTGATAGATACGCATCTTCACAGTGGCCATCTACGTGGACGGCATATAATAATCTCGATTCTGAATATTTGGGGCCGTATGCTATCCTCCCCGAAGGGGTTGGGGGACGAAAATCCTTTAAATTTTCTCTGTCTTCCCAACTGGGATTGCCCTGATAAAGGGCCTACATTTAATGTATGTATGTAGGTAAAGTAAACATGCACTGAAAATGAAGAAACTATATCGTTCAAAACAAATAAATTTAAAGGAAACTTTGGATCACTTAGCTTCGGGGAAGCATAGCATACGGGCCATTGAAGTGTTGGAGTGAGGAGACGCTTAGACGAGTAGCTTGCAAATCGGAAGCTCCGAGTCATCGAGTCATGTTTGATCTCAGAAGAGATTGAAAGACTCCATTTGACAACATCGGATGGTACAAGAATTCAAAAACAAAGCTAGGTGAATCATTTTGTTCTCGTCTGCTTCAAATTCGCACAGTCACCGTTCTTATCGATTTTCGCGACATAATTTCTTGCACCGGGCTGTTTTTTGCAGAGAAAATCACAGGTATCGTCGCTGCGACCTAATATTGTAAAACGTCGATGCGAATATCTCATTGCAGAGAGAACAAAGAGCGATGGAGGAAGATCGTATGGGAATGCGAATTCAATCAGAAACGATCGAAATTACAAAAGATGAGAAGGGTCTCGTCGGTATTTCAATAGGTAGGCATAATTTTGATGAAGATTTGAATAGTTGGCTTCAAACATCAGCATCGTGCACATTTTATATTTCGATAAAAACCCTCAAATTGTTTCCTGCACAAATGTTTGTTTGTTTTTTCAATTACCTAAACCCTTAGGCGACCAAAAGTTTGTCAAAAATTAGCCTATTGCGGCTATTCCCAGCTTTCACTACGAATACGACATCAATTGGGCGTAAAATGGCGCCGAACAGTTCTCGCGCCAAAAATTAATAACATATTCATGAGTGGGACTATCTAATATCCATATAGAAGCATTCACCGCAGAGAATCCGATACCATGATACCATTATACCATGATAGGTATCCACTGGGGGCAAAATAGGGCTAAAAATTAGGTACTATCCACTCTCTACAATCCCAGGCTTCTGCTCCAATGGATCCATGAAAAGTAAAAAAAACGCCGAAGCTACGTTTGAAGCTTCATCCATA